TAGGTATTGGTTGGTGATTGTTATTTGGGTTTTCGGTATATTAATCATTGCTTTGGGCATCAAGCATTTCATTAGAATGTTGATTTAAGTGGTTCGACGATCATCGTTCTTTTTTAGATAATTAGTGAAGATGAAGAACTGAAATTGAATGCAATTCTCGTATAGAAAAGTTCAATTATTTCAGGGTGGTGGTTAAGTAGCTTATAAATTTGCGTTGGCATGCGTATGTTGATTGCACAATGTGTATTAAGTTGATATGGTTATGGTGAAAGGATTTCGGTGTGTGGGCACCTCAAATGTTTTTTTGGTGTCTCAATCGTATTTTCTCTTAAATGGAGATGATTGTCCGTTCTGATTGTTTTCATTTTTCTTTTTGTCGTTCTTGGAAAGGAATTATAGGTTCTTTCACTGGAATATTTGTAGGCAAACGAGTGATTTGGTTTCTGCACTTGGAAACTGGAACTATTGGTGGCATGAGCCAACTTTCTATTGATTTTGAGGGATCAATGGAGTTAAAAGTTTCATCTCCAAAACCAGGGGGCCTTTCTCCTTCTGATTGCATTAGTGATCCTGAGGAGAAGGAATTAAGTGATGATGATGATGACGATCGAAACCACAAGCATCGTAGACGAGACACTCGTTCTCAGTCTTTGGAGACAGATACTCTTGATCAAGTTATAACAAGGCCATTCAGAAACAGAAACAAACCTTTTGTAAATGGGAACTCTTTTAGGGATAATGACTCTCAAGCGAGTACACCATGGAGAAATCAAAATTCTACTGACTTTTCTGTAAAGTTTGATAAAAGACGCCCAGGGTCAACATCACTGCCTCGAGCACCTTTTGATTTGAATCATAGAATCCGGGCAAACCAAGCATTTCCTGGAGACCTTGGTCCTGGTAGGGGAAGAGGAAGGGACTATGGATCATGGAGCCAACGCGGCCCTAGGTTCAACTCAGATTTTGCTTCTCAAATGGTTCAGCAGGGCTCCATTCGTCCGAGTCTTTTTCCTGGGCGTGGATTGCCAAATGTTTCCAGTGCACAAAGTGGATCCTGGAATGCATTTGGATTGATTCCAGGAATACCAAATGGTTCCATGGATACACTACATTCCATTGGCTTGCAAGGAACACTCCGACCACCAATCCATTCTTCATTAAACATGGGGATTCCTCTCCCAAGATGTAGAGACTTTGAGGAGCGTGGATTTTGTCTTAGAGGAGATATGTGCCCAATGGAGCATGGTGTGAATCGGATCGTTATTGAAGATGTCCAGGTACATTTATCCGGTACATCTTTCCTGTTGAACATCAGTAGCATATTTGACACTGCACAATGTCTTAAAATGTAGGGATTTTTTGTTTTTTTGTTTTTTTGTTTTTTGTTATTTGTGGCAAAGCCTCTTGACTGAGGATCACTTCACATTCCCTGGGTTCAGGTGTTTTATGTGAAAATTCACGTTAATGTAGCACTTTTTTCTTGGCAAATTATAATGTTTTATTTAACAACTTGGCGGCAACTTGAATGTTTCATGCCAGTACTTAGAGGGAGAGATGATGCAGTTCTGCATTATATTTCAGTATGCACCGTCAACCGTCTTTCCAGTCATTATGCCTGACTGTTTAATTATATAGTGAAGAAGCATTCGCATGTGCATGCCATATTTTGGCCTTAAATCTATAGGTTGTGACTAGATGAACTTTTGTTTTTTTGGTGTCGTATTATTTTCACAACACAAATGAATCGCTTGACTTGAACTCATTCATGCATTTAGTTATGCTGGGATTTATTTGGATGTGAGTTTCATAATTTTTAAACTTTATTTCTTTGTTGGCCTGTTTTTTATTTATGTCCTATTTTCTTTCAATTACAGAGTCTTTCTCAGTTCAACCTCCCTGTGTCGATTCCGAATGCACACTTACTGGGAAAACCCACAGGCCCTGGATCTCTACCATCAGTGAGTGCATCCTCAACTGCATTGCTGAATAGCAAAAGCTTACATGGAAAAACGAGCAAGACTGGTGTCACTGATGATGGCTTGGGCGTGAATGGTTCGTATTCTGGTCCTGGTTATGCAGATGGTGCTGATTTGTATGACCCTGATCAACCCCTGTGGAATAATAACTGTCCCGAAACCTCAAATGCCCTACTAGGCCTGCAATCACCCAGGAATGATGAAACTGAAACCTTGTTGAACGATGCTGATAATGAATTCCCAATTAGAAGTGTTGGGACAGCTTCCAGTTCACAGAGTACAAGCATGTCCGTGTGGGGTAGAATTGGTAGTTCAAAAAGTAGATTAGATGTGAAGGAGAAAATTGAACCTGTAATAAATTCTTCAGATTATATTGAGAGTGATACGAAGGAAGGTAAGGAGGCATTAGTCAACATTCAAACTCCACCACGTCAAGGAAAGCGTATAATTGCAGAGGATGGCCCAAACACCATGGATTCATTACCCAAGACGCCTTTTGATTCCACTCGTAACATCCGGAGACCATCTCAAAAAGCACTGCGTACTCTATTTGTCAATGGCATCCCTCAGAAAAACAACAAAAGGGAGGCTCTTCTTTCTCATTTTCAAAAATTTGGAGAGGTTATTGACATCTATATTCCATCAAATAGTGAACGAGCTTTTATCCAGTTTTCAAGGAGGGAAGAGGCTGAAGCTGCTTTAACAGCACCTGATGCTGTAATGGGTAACCGATTTATCAGGTTGTGGTGGGCTAATCGTGATAGAATTCCTGATGAGGGGACAGGCACTCCCAGTAATTTTTCTGGAACTCCCCATGGTGTAACAACTGGTTCAGTGCCACTGCCACCCCATTCATCTGGTGCTAGTATTAGCAAGGATAATCTTCAATCTGCTGCTCCAAAGGGTAGTATTGTCCATGCATCTGATGCTTCTCTACCTGCCATTGATAACTCCAAGCCTATCACCTCAAATGATCCGAAGGCCCCACCTCTGCAGAAAAAGCTAGATAGTTTAGAGCAGTTGAAGGAGGAACTTCGCAAGAAGCAGGAAATGCTGGCCCAGAAAAGGAATGACTTTCGTCGCCAGTTGGACAAGCTTGAGAAACAAGTAAACCAAGTGCCCTTGCCTTGAATGTTTCATTTTCTTGCTAATGTTGTTTAGTATGAGGCATATAACATCTTGGGTTGCTAATTTTCTTATGTTATAACTTATAGTGCTATTTTAATGTGCATTACTATTCTTCTTTGCCAAGACAATCTGTTGTAATGGTTTCAAAGAGGACCCTGAAAAGGGTTTGAAATTGATGTGTATAAAGTTGTTGAGGCAAATTTATTAGTGAGGTAGTTATAGAACTATGTTCTTTCATTACCAGTGATTCTCAAGGTTTGACCTTTTGCAGGCTACTGGACCCAAGGGTGAGACAGACACAGAGCAAGCTGCTAAGAGACCCAAAGTGGGAACAACAACCGAAGCTGGTAAAGCTGTGACTCCAAACTCCTCAAATCCTTCTCCTGCGGATGCAATGCATGCTGAAATGACTGATAAGAACAAATCAGGGGAGAGCATTGTGTCCTGTAGTCCAAAACCCAGTACACCTGTGGTGCTGCAGCAATCTCCTAGCTTGAAGCTGCAGACTATCCGTCCATTGGGACCACTGGGTTCACCTTCTCCTTTGAATAGATATAAATTAGACAACCGTCCTACTGGATTTAAAATTCTTCCTCCTTTACCAGCTGGATTTGCAAATGTAAGTCTCTCTCTCTCTCTCTCTCTCTCTTTCCCTCTCTCTCTCGGAAATTGTATTTTATGGTTGCACTTTTCTAATAGGAAAACACTCTGCTCTTATGTCCGAGATTGTGTAGATTATAATCATGAGCAATAAAGCAATGCGTCTGTTTTCTAGTTAGTATGGTAAGATTGAAAGATAGTGACATGAGGAGGCATTAGGACCATTGATTAGGAATTCATGCAATACTTTAGATCCCATTACTAAATAAATCAGGTTAAAGTTCTAGCAGATGCACAAAGTCATTTCTATCGAATGCAAACATGCTAGTCTACTACATAAATTCTAGTCATGATTCATGAAAGACCTTACCTTACGCATTTGGTTTTGGTCATTGTTTAGTTTAACTTGTCTATTAAAAGAAGAAAGAGTATTTTCATGAAAACAGATTATCGTAGTAAAGATTTTTGTAAGCAAAAGGTGAAAAAGACCCTCATCAACTAAATGGGAACATGTAACAGTGAGAGCCTGCAGTTTTTCTTACAATTAGGAATTTAAATGCCTTTCACTCTTTGCTTTCATTCAAGTAGCCGACGCCATGCAAATAGGCTTCTTATTGTTTCTCCTTTAAGTTTTTTCTTTCCATATATCCTTCGTATTTTCAGTTTTATCATAATGAATTGGTCTGGAATCAGTCTGTCTTGAGATATTTTATGTATTTACCAACGAAAGGTAAACTGATGTTTTGTTCATTGTAGGTTGCTATTATGAAGGAACACTTCTCACCCTACGGTGATCTTTCTAATGCGGAATTAGAAGATCTGGAATCCCGTGAAGGTGATAGTGAGTTGGAGAAATCAAAAGATTGCTCAGCTCGTATAACTTTCACAACACGCCGCTCAGCAGAGAGGGCATTTCTCAATGGTAAATGCTGGGAAGGGCACGATCTGAAATTTATATGGCTGACATCTAGCACCGGCAATGACCGCAGTGGTAGAGAAAACTCTCCATCTACCACCCCTAAGGGGCCATTACCGGTTGATACTCAGCCTGCAGATAAAGAAGCATGCATTGATTCCCAGGAAGCTGCTGCATCAGGAAATGGAGAACCGGAACATTCTGAACGAATAAGTGGCGTTGAGGACATGGAATCGGATGAACATGCCGAACCTAGTCCAATGTCAACATCAGGCGACAAAGAGTCATCCCAGGGCGATGCATTGTAATCTAAACGCGGGCTAATTTTCGGATTTGTACAGTCAGGTAAACGTTAAATCGGAGAAATTCTAATTCTTCCAGGAAAACCTTGTTTAAATTAGCAATTGTTTAAATTTTTATTTTTCCAGTGTTTATTATTGTACGCATGGGATCTGTAAAAAAGGGAACTGCCTTAATTTTTGACATCCACCTGAGGATAGTTGAGTGGTGTATCATGTCCGTCGGCGTCGGTCGTCTTCCTTCTTAAGATAAGTGTAGGAACAAGAAGAAGCATTAAAGTTGAAAGTTTCTGTTGAAACATTTAAATTGTTACATAGAAAAATTACTTCGGGTTTCTTTTCCCTTTCTGTTTTATGTAAGTTGATAGCTCCACTTCTTTTACTAAATTCTCACTGGATTCCGATGCCATTGCGTTTCTGTTTCTGTATATATCTGTCCTGTGAAAAGTCTATACATGTATAGAGATATTCGCCGATTTTCCCTGGAACTTGTAAGGAGTTGTCAATTTCTCCTCTCGACTTTAATTTTAGCCAATTATCCTTCTGAACTTTTAGGTAGCCGACATGTCATCGAGCGAGGCTTGGCATGCCATGACACGCATTCTGACGAACATTTTGCAAGGCCTGGCATGGTATGAGCATATCCGACTGTTCGGAAAACCTCTGAAATGGCGAACATAAACTTTAAGAAGCTGAGGGTGCACCAAAAATAACATAAAACAGGATTTTAAATGGTTTCTTAAGAAATTGCCAGAAACCGATAAAAATCGTGACTTACAAGTTACAACACACGAAGTTTTTTTTTATCCGGCGTTGCAGTTTTCCACAATCCATGGATCACATGCTTAAACGTAAGGCTGTTCGGCGCAAACCCTAGTTTCATCATCCTCTCCTGCAACTCCAACAACTTAGCCATATCACCGTCCTCACACAAAACTTGGACAAGTGCATTGTAACTTTCACTGTCAAAAACTTGGAATCCTTTGGCAAAGAACCCTAACAAAGCTTCCGCTTTATCGACATCTCTTTCGTTGCAGTACCCCTTTATCAACGCCCGGCATATTTCGAGATCAGGAGCCAAACCGGATTCAGCCATCTCCTTCATTAGCGATTCACCTTCTGCTGTTCTGTTTGTTTGGCAGAGAGAGCAAATTAGAGTTCTGTATGTTGTAAGATCGGGTTTAATGTTCTTACATACCATCTCGGCTTTCAAAAGCAATGCCTCTTTCACGTAGTGGCTTTCGCAGAGAGACTCGATTAGTTTGTTATAGATATCCAAACCAGGAAGATAACCATCCTGGGAACTTCTTTCTAGTAGACTTTTAGCTGCAAATGGATGATTTTCTCGACACAATGCAACCATTAGATAATCGTAAATACCACGAGAAATCGATATCTGAAATTTGTGAAGCTCCACGACCAAATTCAGAGCAGAGAGCAGTTTACCTTCTTTGCCATATCCTTCTACGACTACCCGACAAGTGAAATCATCTGGACAAATTCCCTTTCTGATCATCTCGTGCAACAGTAATCTGCACTCTTGCATCTTCCCCTCGCGGCAATAACCACTAATAAGAGTGTTATACGTCACTGCGTCTTGATCCAACCCTCTATCGACCATCCGATGAAAAATCTGATGAGCCTCCCTTACCTTCCCTTGCTTACAAAGACCATTCATCAAGGCAGTGTACGAAACCATATCCGGCACCACCCCTCTCCTATACATGATCTTATACAAATAAAATGCATCTTCCATCCTTCCTTTTCGACAATAGCTACTAATCAGCGTGTTATACGTCACGATATCCGGATCAAATCCTTCTTCTTCCATCTTCTCCATAAACGCATTCACTTTCTCGACATCTCCATCTTTACACAAAACATTGATCAAAATATTAAAAGTATACACATTTGGGTGTATCCCAATCCTTCCCATCTCCTCATACACATCCCAACACTGATCAATTCGATTCAACTTCACCAGCCCATTCAAAAGACAATTACAAGAAACCACACTCGGAACAAAACCAACCTCTACAATCTTTCTAAAAGTGCTTAAACCATCTCTGATCATACCTGCTTTCACATAAGCCTTGATGAGCATATCGAAAACAACCGGATCCCAGTTGCAATCTTCGGTGCACGAAACCAAACTCCGAAAAATGTCATCTTTTGGTGAAACATCTCTGCCCAACAACACTATCAACTCCCTCAACAAATTCATGGCTTTCGGGAACTTTTTACAGCACGCAAGAATATGAACAACAATGCAGTAATTCTGGGTGGTGGGTCTGAGACCCAAATCATTTTTGACCCACTTGAAAAAAGCAGTAGCCGAGGAGTGATCGGATTGAAACCTGAGTAAAACCCTCGAAATTTCCCGCGCACCCAGGTGGGGAAGAAGCCCTTTGATGTCGTTTTGGAGGAGGGCAAGATGGGGCTTTCCTTGCTTGAAGGAGGAGCAGATGAGATTGACTGTGTTGTTGGGGTTTTGGGTTTGGGGGAGAAAATGGTAAAGTGGGTTGGAGATTGATTTGGAGGGAGAGTCTGGGATTGTCTGCAGTGCTGACGAAGAAGAAGAAGAAGAGAAAGCTGAGATTTTTGGTGAGAAATTAATGGGGGAAAATGGTTTTCTGTGACGGCGGGAGTTCGTCGGTAAAACCCAGCTCCGAGTCACGGAACGAGTTGAAGCGCGACTCATTTGCTAGCTCGAGAGAGATGGACAGGAGCGCGCGAGAGAGAAGGGAATCTGTGACTGTGACTCTGTAATTGGACATCTGGAAGTGTAAATAAACAAAATATTGGGACCATTCGGAAAATATTTTCGAATAAAGATAAATGATCTTGGGGTCAATTCGACAAAAAGGTAAAATAGATAAAGTCGTTCCTACCCTGCTATAGACTGGAATAAGTAAGGATATTTATGACTTTTCAAAATCATTTGACTGACTTTCCACGTGTGATTATTATAAAATTGAGCGATACTGTTTTTTTAGAACGAGCTTTTTTTAGGAACAAGGATTGTCTGCCCTTCTTATTTCCGTGCCCTCCTGTTTTGTGTGATCACGGTTAAGCCACGTCAATATTTTATATTGTTTTTTTTATAGAAATAATAAGATAAAAATAAATAGTAATATAAAATGTTAACGTGGCTTAACCATGACCACACAAACAGGAGGGTATGGAAGGGCACGGAAATAAGGAGGGCAGACAATTCTTGTCCTTTTTTTAGGACGAGCTTTGTTGTAACAAAAAATTTACTTATTCGTGACTAAATGGTCACGAATTTTAGTCGTGAAAGACTGTACGATAAACATCCTCTCGATCCTACCTTGTTAGCTTGCAGCTGCTATTTTTTAAGCAAGACATCGTATTTTTACAATTTTATTAGTACAGACACTTTTCTATTTAAGTTCAAAATTCTTGTAAAGTGACTTTTTTTTTTCAATTTGGAGAAGGTGATTTGAGCTCACGTAAAAAGGTGAACTTGACTAATTGGCCTGACACACGTCAACTATCCCACACACTTTACGGTCTATAATTTTGAAGAAAAAAAATATTACTTGTATAAATGTAGAAATATCTGATCAAAACAACATATCACACGAAGCCTGAGCTTCAACATGGCATTTGGAAGCAACCACCAACATTACGAGAGATTTTTCGGTGTTTCTGTGGTACAACAAGTGTAACAATACAATTGGTAGAAAACTTAAAAAAGAAAATTTCCAAGCAATTATATCACGACACTTTGTGTATCAGACCATGTCTCCAGCAGGCTGAAAAATTTCTCCAACATTACACTCCAATTCCATTACATTAGTCGTTCAGTCGCCACAGACCACCATAGTCGATATCAGGGAGTTTTCCACCCCCTTCTGCTATAAAGGAAATGACAGGCATGCCGACGGAGATTCAGAAAGAGAAACATGAGATGCCGATAATTCTCATTGACTTGCACACAACGGTTAACAGACTCAGCGTTGGTCGGACTTCTGTCAAGCAACCGCCATATTTGCAAGCTTAAGTTGCTTCTCGAGAGGCAGGCAATCCTTCAAAGATACACAGGTACCATGCATCACTCTTGATAGGAAAACAGCCATGGAACTCTCACTTTTGTCGATAGTTTGCATGTCAGGCGGGATATCCTCACCGCGCATGATATGTGTAGCCCAATTGTAAATGCGTTCTGTCGATGCAAAAAGAGAAGGGACGGCGAGTTCTACAACTCCTGCCCAACTAGAGTCTGAGAGAAGGGAGGAAAGTGTGACTGGTAAATCACTCAGCACAGCCTGTTGGTCCAGAATCAGAAGCGGCATATATTTGCTCCAGCTACCAGATAGCAACCCAAGAAATTGTAGCGCCTATCGAAGAATTAAGGTCAATTTTTTATTGAGACCACAAATTTAGATACGGCAAACATGTACGTATAGCTATTAATTATCAGAGCCAGATGAACTTCAATGGAGGGGAGTGAATGCAATTCTCAATATCAACAAAGGGAATTAAAGCTCATGACTTACCGTGGATGGATAACTCGATACACAGCTGATTTCAACTGCATCAACAAGCCACTGTCTTTTGACACTTCCATCTGCATGTTGCAAAGCTGCTACAACTTCAACGAGCACATCCCACATACCTGCATATAGGTTATCAAAATTGCTTGAGTAAACCTTTCGGACTATATCCATTTTCTTATGTTGATTAACCCTTACGTAGAGAAACTAATCATATTACAGTTTTCAAAAATGAAAGGAGAATTAAAAAAATCCGAACCATTTGATGGAGTGTTCAATATCCAAGGCTTTAGCCTTCCCAGCTCAGTCAGTGGGATGGAGCCAACTCTAACGAGCTTAGCTTTGGTTTGAATCTTTTTCAGAACTTCAATAATCCGTTCATCTCTTTGCTGCAAGTCCTCCTGGGTAACCTGTAAGGTCAATGCAATTAAATGACTTTGAACATGTGTGCGGAAGCAGGTTCAATTAAAACTTTCGTATCTTAATGGCTTTCGATATAATGAAGCCAACATAGCGAGAGAGCACAATAACTTTCTAGATTAAACTACTGAGCTTGAATAGCAACAGAAAAAATATCATTGGATTTTCTGAAGGTTGCAAGATGCGACTCATTTTGATTATCAGCATATTCTACAAGCAGCAAGCTAGAATAACAGTTGCTTCCCTAACTGCATATCAATATAAACATGTATTAGGATTCAGGAAGTATATGGTTATAAGCATACCAGCAGGAACTTCAACAACCAACTTTTCCGAGCCTTGCCAAAGCATCTGACTGCTTCCGACCACTCTACAGAATGCCACTGACCTACTCCTACTGTGTCAGCCAACTGCGTCATAGGCATCAAGGAAAAGAGCACCTCCATGCACTTCTCTATGTGGGATATGTACTCTATAGAATCAAGAGAAGCCTCATTTAAACACCGATAGATACCCTTCCAGCATGAAATCCGTAATAAGCTTGTCTCATTGGTGTCATATGATTGATATGAATTAACCGAAGAGAAGTAGCTACAGACATCATCAAACACTTTCTCAAGCCTGGAACCTGAGAATACTTTGATGAGATCTACAAGATGATCGAGAAGACAAGATTGCAGCTTTAACTCAAGTGTTCTGAATCTGGACAAGTCAGACAGCTCATCAAGGAAACTTAGAAGTGGATCGAACTTATTTGCATGAACCAATGAGAACTTTACACATTCCTCCCTGAGGGATCCCTTTTCAAGAGATAAGTCTGTTGGAAACAACTCAGCAACCTGAGCCTCGTATCTCATGCAGCGTCTGATGATAGCACCCCAATCCAAGGTTGGCAGCCTAGGGGCTTGTGAAAGGCACCTTATCACAGTTGCTACTGTGCAAACATGAGGAGCATTACCTGTCTGAACGCAATAATTCAATATATCAGAAAAGACCCATAGTAGCATCAACAATGAAATACCTGATGTCAGTTTGTCTCAAGTATTCATCGGCCGAAAAAGAAAGAAAAAAGTACACTTGTGCAAAACAAGTAGCAAGAGATGTACCCCACTAGAAGTGAGAAGCATCAGCCATGAAGAAAGCTTCAAAACTGAACTGTCATCTGCAAAACTTTCGGAAACAGATTTTGAACCACCTGCATCAGTATTGAGACTATTGTCAACATTGACAACTTTCTTGGAGAACAAATGTTTTCGAAGAAACGAAACTGCCCATGCAGCATATTGTTGCAATTGATGGTCATCAGAACTCTGTGCAACAAGAAATATATCCTGCATCAACGATGTCAAATACTGCTCACAAGTAGGACTTGAAAGTAGAGGACCCATGAGATAGCAAGATTCCTGTTCAGCACAACCAAAAATATTTTTTACACGTGAATCAGAAAAACCAAACAACAAATAGGAATACATTTTCTTAGAATAGACAAATATAAATACCTTGTGGTCGTAAGCTGTCTGCACTGAGGTTGGAGGCTGCATGTCAAACAGGACCCCAGCACCTGCTCCCATAGCATTAACAAGTCCAAGCATCCCACCCAAATGGACTAAAGGAGGATAAGGATTTGAATAGCATTTTTTGAACAATTCCAGTAGATCTTTTACATGTTCAACTTCAATAAAGTGCAACCCTCCGTTTAGTGCGCAGGCTAGGAGGTTTCCAGCTCCTACGCAAGATGACATCACTAAGCTTTGATAGAAGGTCCCAGATTTTTTGACAGACACTAATTCAGAAATTAACTCCTTATAGCCATTCACTAAATGATGCACTTCATTATCATCCATCAGTTCTACTCTTTGGCATAACTCCACCACAATCGGAAGTGCAAGACAGGACCCTACTGATAAGACTATCTCAGAACCCTGAGAGCAAGACCCAGACCCTTGAACCAGAGTAGTCATATGTGGAATCCATGAAACGATTAAGCCCTTTATCTTGAGAACAGCATCATGTGCCCCAGCCCTGTACACTGCACCAACAGAACTCGCCAAACCAAGAACAAGCCCAGCAACACCCCAGATATCTTCGAGAAAGTCATCAGAATTCTCATGTGACAGTTCAGAAGTTACATTCACATCTATGCCAAATGTGCTAGGTGGGAAATATTCAGACAGACTTTCCAAAACATCAGATTGCAACTGAGTGAGCTGACCTATCATCAATGATAACGCCTTAACTATCATACCAAGCAAGTCTGTTTCCGACACCTTGCCTGTTTCTTTGTCCACGTCAGATTTATCAGCAGCATCAACCCTGGTAAGAAGATCTTGGCAAGAAAAACCCAAGGCAACCCCACATGCTCCTCTGACGAGGGTGCTATTGCTTCTACACATAACCTGAAATCATGCACTAACAGTAAAAAAAACATGCAGATATTCTCACAAAACTATTCCAATGCCTATTTATCAAGGTAACTATCAAGATTATTTTTCTGATCTCTGGTAATTCATAGGCAGGAGATCAACACCAAATTAAACAAAAAACAAAAAAGCAAAAGGAAAGAAACGAGAATAGCATCAAACAGAACTTACAAACCTCAACAAGTCCAGTGATATTCTCAAACTTTTGCTTATGATCAGTTACATGTAGGCAACTTGAGATCAATCCAAGAGATATTGCAGCAGACCATCTGCGGTGTTCATGTTCAGGCTGGACCAACCACTTCAACAGAAATTTTGAGGCAGCTGATTTAACAGTATGAGCAGATGGAGGCAAGACCTAACAAACAGCAAACATAGGCAAAACT